CTAACAAATAAAATGCTACAGTCTAAAGAAAAAATTAAAGAAAAACGCGGAGGAGAAAAACAGTTCGACATAAAGATAGGCGACGAAATTTATATGAAAGGAGTAAATACAAGACGTAGTAAAGATAAGCCTAGATACCAAAAGGCGACAATCATAGATGAAGTGAATAGGAATACGGTAACAGTTAAAGCCCGTAAAACAAAGAAAATACCACTTAAAGACATTAAGCGCCCTTCACAGGTTCGCCCTCGTGATAGCGGTGCAAGCGACCCTGAGCCTGGCCCTTCAACTTCAAAGGATTGAAGATAATCCGGGAATTCTTCCTGTTAAAGAAGGACAAGCTTCGCTAAGCCTCTATAATTGGCATATAATTAAAATCCTAGACTTAGATTTAGTTCATAAGAATTTAGATTACAACATAGGCAAGTATTATGAGATTTATAGTTATATGAGAGATAAGTTAGACATATATGTTTTAGATGGTAGTCTCGTTGATGCTGAGTTGCAAACCCAATATATAATGAATATAACTAGAACGCTATAACCAGTTAATCCCAAGCATAAGAATAAAAAGAGGACTTATCAATCCTGCTGGATCTATAATTAAAGCTCTTACTGGAAACTTAGATAACGATGATGCAGTTAGATACGATAAATTGATAAGCAGTTTACAATCACAACAAAATGTTATAATGAATAAAATTACTTTAGTTTCCGAAATAGTTGATACATTTGTTAATATCACCAACTCAACTAGAAATAACTTTATAGTACTAGAAAAAACTATTAAGGAAATAGAAGAAATTTTAAACAACACCCAGTTCCAAAGGAGTAAGAACCTTGTATTAAATACATATAACATGTTAATTCATAATTTCCAAATATTATTAACCCGCTTAGATGAAGTGGAGACAGCAATAGCGTTTAGTAGACTTAATGTATTACATCAAACCATATTAAATACAACCGAATTATTTTACATTCTTACAGACATCGAGAAAACAGATAGGTTAGCATTTCCTGTGACTATCGAAAACTTAGTTAATATTGAACATTGTATTGATATCAAAGCTTATGTAAAGGGCAAACAAGTAACTTTTATTATGTCAGTACCAATAGTCCAAGCAGATGTCTATAATTATTATACCTTACATCCCTTTCCTATGTACAACTCCCACCTTGACCTATCATTTATGATAACTCCTAAACATTCCCATATCCTTGCGAAAGGGTTGAAAATAGTGTCGCTCTCCCAGCCTTGCAGGGAAATAGACGAAGGAAAATTCCTTTGTTACGACAGCAACGTGTCTCCAGAGGAGGAAAATAAATGCATCATAGATTTGAGGACGTTCTCTACGAAGATAACATCGTGCCTGCCTCTACCTGTCAACGCATCCACTATTAAAGTCAAATCTATACAACCAGACTCTTGGATAATATTCGCAGGTTTTCCTACATTCTTAACAGAAATCTGCGATAACGACATGAACCAACACGACGTCATGGGTACCTACATCTTAACACTGAACAATGCCTGTGAAGTGAAGCTTGGTACAACTACGTTAAGAAAGCACCGTCTTCAAGCAGGAGAAGTTGTCTTCCACAGCTCGCCATCCATACACCTACCTAGCATAGTGACACCAAAGGACATCGTGCCGCGGAAAACTATTAGCCTGGACGAGATTAACTTGGAAAATCTACAGTTCCTATCGCACGCCTTAAAGGAAAATAGTGAAGTGATAAATAGTGAAGGACATTTTGTGAATGTGCACAGTGTTAGCATAGGCACTATTGTAATCTACCTCATTTTAGTTATTATGTTAATGATAACCATGTATCGTTATAGACATGTATTAGTATGTAAATCCAATCAAAATCATCAACCTCGTGATGTACCCTCGGATGATGATTTTGCACTTACGGAGGGAGGAGTTATGCGTTGCCAACCCTTACCTCGCTTAGTAACAGTCAACTAACATCACACCATGCCACCCGGCAGTTCCAGGTAGCCTCTAGACTCGAGTGTCTAATGGCCAATTCTCATAAAATTAATGTTTATCAAAACAGTTAAAGAAATTAGATCGACAGATCCCTGTTGCTGGCCAACTGCGAGGTCCAGCCACAGACACACACATGTAAAGCTTTTCAGTAGTATATAAGTCCATATAATCTTAGTTCAGATGTTCTTTTGTTCATTATCATCTTAAAGCTCATGCTGAGCACACGTGTAATTAATAAATAAATATTTTTTAATACAAATCTTGCGCGTTCATATTTGACTAGGTAATCAAAAAATCAACATGCAAAACAATAATAATAAATTCTCAAACACCTACATCTACAATCCACAACTAAACAAACAAACAGTCATTTCCTGAAAATGGCTGCCATCGCCATTTTGCGATGCGCAAGCGCATATGTCTGGTCTGAAGGTGAAGGTTATGCAAATGTAAGCATTCGCTTTTATTTACCCTCATATCTTGCACATGTTGTATTGTTATCGTTTAACATACATAGATTTACATCTATACCGATAGATGTCGCTAATAAATTAGAAATGTCAAAGGCCGGTATGAGTATTGGCAAATATCCAAAAACCTGTTTGAATGTTCAAATTCCAGTCATTGTTGTTTTTCGCTATAAAAAAAATAAAGAAAAACTGCAAAGCAACTTTAATATCTACATTATAGAAAATTAAAAAATTTATATCTAGTCAGAAATTCCTAATAAAAAAAAACAAATAAATAAATATACGTGTTTTTAAAGTTGTCCAAAAATGCTTATTCATTTCAAAATTCGAATATGGGTGTTTTTAAATCTCGAATTTAACAAGAAAGCCTAACATACAATAACGGTTTATCGAGATTTCACACTCCCTTGTATTCTATTTTTAAACGCACCTGCAGGGAAAGTATACTTTTTGTTGTTTATTAGAAAAACATTAACGGAACATCTGTTTCGAACGGAAACGCTTTTTGTGTTCACCGCAAACGAATGCCACTGATTTCCGTTATAAATAGGTCAATAAGTCACTAACGTTCCCTGAAAGTCATTTTTTATTTTTATCCCACGACGTGCACGGCATAATGAAGTAAAATCTCATATTTTTATGGTTGAAGAGGAATTTCCATAATTGAAAAGTATTAAAAAATAATTAAGTGTTCCCAGTCATTAAAGCTACTATTTCCCTTACAAATAATAATAAAAACATGTCCCACTTAAATACTTCGCTCAAAAATAATTTTATTCAATGGTAAGCGAAATAGTAATAAAATAATAATTTATAAGAATATGAAAATAATTCACAAAAAAATAAATCAATAAAGTAATTTAATTCCTCAAGATAATATTTAAATAAACACATCAACCTTTCTGTTGTCACAAAAACATCAAAACAAAGTCGTAGATACGTAAACAAATCTCCCAATCGAAGAAAATTCGTCGCTCTTTTAATTGTTCGCACGAAACAGACGGAAGCTAAACGCGGCAAACACAATTTTCCGTAACAAAACTCATGCGCACCGGAAAGTGCTTCATTTATTTCCCGCCATCCGGCGTCTCGACCAACCGAAATTTGGCGCCTAAAATTCTCCAAGCCAATGAAACAAATGGCCGCCATTTTCAACCAATCAGCGTCGAGCCCGCGCTCTCGCCATCGCGTCATTGTCATATCTCGAAAATTAGTACGGCGGCAGTGCAGTGAATGAATCCCGTCCGCAAATCGAAGAATTTTCCGTGAAACAACAAATAAATACTCATAGGTGAGTAGCTAATCAAAATTTCGATGCATACGCATCTGATTTTTTCAAAATCATTCGTTATGTCACTCAGATTTTAACGAAATGTCAAAATAATTTTCCAATTTATTGCCATTATTAAGTTGTGAAAGCGAATATTACTAATGATTATCATTCCGCTTCATTGTGATTACATAATAGTAACTGCCGTTATTAAAATAATAATTAATTATAACTTTAGAAGTCATCTTACTTTAGTTTTAATTGTCTAGATAAATCATACTAACCATCCAACACAAAAATCTAGTCAGTCGTGTTTCGGCAAAATGGCGGCGATGCTCTGTGCTATTAATACATTTTCTGTCCTTTTTATGATGGGCCACACTAATGCGCGTGCGACAGAGACGGCTATACTTCTGATAAGCAGTATGAATTTATGCTGTACACGTAGGTAACTAGACACGTCTTCGTTCTTCGTAAACAAGTCAGTGGCCAGTGTTGCCATAGTAATCGCTTTTTTACCTATAATTCGGGGAAACGAACGCTTGATACTGTAGTGGTAAATAAACACGTGACTATTTTATGTTTGTAGAACAAGTATAAGAGGAGTTATAAAATATATTAATACACAACAAAAACGTCAAAAGGACATGACTACAAAATTTTTATAACTTACTATTATTAAATACTTATAACAGATTTTATTATTCTAAATAAGTAAGTATGAATAAATTAATTAATTTCCTGAAACCAAGAAATTATAAGTTATTGATTGTTTTATAATTATTTATCATTGTCTTTATTTTGATAAAAATTAAAAACAATAATCATTAATAATTAGGTATTATTCATAAATTGGCCAATTTATTTATTTTTTTATTTATTTATTTATTTAATTTTTTTATTTAATTTATTTATTTAATATAATTAATTATGAATACCTCACGCTTTTCATTTATCAGATTACCTATATTATGTACTGAATTCACCATAAATATGCACCATAATAATGCAAAACAATGATTTTCATTTCATGTGAAATGATAAGAAATAAATTCTTAACACAAAATCCTAGTTGAAAATAATAATTATTTCCGATAGCAAAAGTTAGAATAAGATAATAATCACAAAGACACCTCATTAAATAGCAGTATTTTTTATTACAACAAAATGGGTAGTGGAGTTAGGGAGTCGCATACTCGCATACAGCAATATCACATCACTTGACCGAACGCGACACTAGCGCCACACAGTGGTGAAAAGATGAAACAAAAAGAGTCGCTTGCGCTGTGGTTGTCCTACTCCGCCGCACGATTGCGTTGCGCCACCGCCACGCTATTCCCTGTGCGCCGCGTCGCCGCCGCCGCTCGCCGCTGCCGTCTGCTGCCTTGCCAGTCGGCGTACGTAGTTTTGCCGTGCGGACGTATTACGTCACGTGTTTCGTCGCGTCACTCACGACTTGTTTACACTCTGTAAACTAACAATACAAATTCTTATTGGTGCGTGATGAACCAAACACTTATACGCTTGTTAAATCAATACGTTTGTATCGTGTGCTATAACTGAATACTGACCTTGTTTGCGCTAGGTGAATACGGCGCGGATGCTATCTGTGAAGTGCGCTGTGTTTCGCTGTTCGGACTCTGTTGAAGAGATGTCGACGTTGAGTATGAGGGCGCCCGGTCTGCAGACCACCACGGTGCTGGACACGAGGACGCTTCGTATGCGAGGCGTCACGGCGCTCGAAGGCGTCAGAAGAAATTTGTTTGGATCTACGGATCGAGAAGAAAACAGAAGATTTGTTGAGAGAGAGTTGGCACGCCAATTGGAATTGGACAGCCAGAGATGGGGTTTTGACTTCGCCAATGAGAAACCCCTGCCAACTTCTCAGAGATTCGCCTGGCAACTTGTTCCCGCGTCTACTATCCCCGCAGCTCTCAGAAGGTCACCGATTACAGTCACAACTCCTGCTGCGAGCAAACCGACGCAGGAGGCTAAAGTTTCGAGTCCTGAGAACAGCAAGACACAGAAGAGAATAACAGGTAGGTTTAGTATAAATATTACAAATGTTTTTGTTATTGACATAAAGTGACGAGGTTATAGTTACGTTTTGATTCACGCTGCGTAAACAATGCGTAATATTTACGCTGAAATGTCAACATTGGGTGTTTTTAATCTATGAAAATATGTTAGTAGTTCTAGTTGAACGGGCCTCATTCATTACTAGTCGCGCGTACACTTACGTATTATACGTATAGATAGGATGTACACTAGCAGTACAAAATATTATGAGTAAACTTCAGTTTGAAGACTTGGCTAGATTATTATTTTCTTGAGACGAAATAACAGAGAACCTATGACATTTTATCTTAGTTGAAAGTCTTGAACTGTGCAATTAATCCTTTGTTATTGAAGTAATTACAGTGTAAACAACCTGTTATCATTGCAACTGCAATTGTATGCGATTCGGCGTATATTTGTGTGCCTAAAGTTGTTTATCTCGTGACGCAGTGATAACGAACCTAGGTCACTTTGATTTGACACTTTTATTTTTGGCCTTTAAATAACTTGTTCCTATGCAGTCCTTGCTCGAAATGACAGTGTTGCAGTCACTTGTTACGTTTACGACATTTTTGGTAGTTACTAGAATTTTAGTTGACTATTGACATTAGATATTTTGATTTGCGTGACTACTAAAAGTTAAATTTGAGTCAAATTAATATTATATTATTATGTTGTTTATTTCTAAATTAAAATTGGTGCTTCTAGATGAAAACTTACTATAAATGTTACTTCAGTAATTCGGTTTTCGTGTAAATATACGTTTATCAAATATCTAGTACTGGAATAGGTAATCAATTTCTTGTATTTTTGTAAGTAAATATAGGTCGGTACCTCGGTTCAATGTCAACCTACTACTACACAAACATTAATTAAGCTATTTACATTACTACTCTGTAAACTTCATTAGGAAACTGCAATATTAACCTTGTTTCAATTTACATGTTAAGTACCTACCTTCGCATTTATAGGTGCTTAAGTGGGCATCTGCTTAGCGATTTCGTACTACTTAATCCATAATTACACGAAACTAGTATCAAACATGATCAATTTATGTCTCCTCGTTTTTCAATTAGACTAACATTGATGATACAAATGAGTATATGATATAAATGCCCATTTCTTAAAAAAATGAAGTAGGTACTTGACATAAGCTTTATTTAACCCAGAAATGGTTACTCATACATATTTAACTCGTCGAGTACCGGTTTTATAGACACAATTAAAGAACAATAGGTCGCGGTCACCGGTGACCGCTTGGTGTTTGACAGTTTAATACTAAACATATCTATTATTTCGTCAAATAGCATAAACATGACACACGAAGACGTGACCTAACAGAAAACGAACGCCTTTACAAATCTTAACCGCAATTGTACACTGAAGTCGTCGTTGCCATGTCCTTACAACTAAATCTACTTTATATTAGATCATAAATAAAGGTCTATATAATAAAGTTACTCATACGGCATCATATTCATTATGTAACTGAATATGTATCACAGTTTGCAACAAGACACTAATTGGCCGCTCATAACACCTGGAACAAAATACACGTATCGTTTTACTCTTATTAAAAACGTCCAGTTTGATACCACCTACTTAGTACTTAGTCCTATCGTATTATTATTTTATTGATAAGCCTAATGATGCCAGACTTCGCGACCTATGACTCGAGATATTTATAATTAAAATGTGTTTTAGATCCTTTAATTGCTTGGATGGATGTTGTATGACGAAATAATATATCTGGAGTTTACGACTTCTAAGTGGGAGGCGAATAAATGTGTAACCTAATAACACATTAATAAAACTATATTAAGAACACTGTTTCATAAATCTTAATACGATATCTCAAAACCCTTTTGTATCGCACCCTTATAATTGGACATCAAAGAATTGAAAGGAGACGTGCAAAAACTTATCCGCCGAAGGTGTTAAAAACTTCATAAAGGGCAATGCAAAGCTTTTATTAAATAATTTGCAGCCTCATAATTAAAAATTAAGACACCCTAATGGATTTCTAATGGACTTTTTTCGTATTTGAAGGGGACATTTTAGTAAGAAGTTGGTTTAAGTACTTATTAAACTGTTTTTCTTGTGTTACAAGAAACCGCAGCTTGGTTTGGTACGTTATGAATATAAAAAATGACAAAGCCATAACGGCACGTTTAAATTATCGTACAGGCACGAATACTGACCTAGATTCGTTTGTTTTGATACTGAGCTCAGTGTTAATATACGTAGTGTGGCGAGCCTCCCACACTTGTCCTATTTTAGATTACACACATGTGTAGTTACAAATTGTAAACAATAGTTTGATGTTTCATACAAACTGTGGTCTTGGTCAGATTGAATAAATTCTCAAATATTTTAATGTAAGTACTTACAATTTCATCATGATGATGCTTCTTAATCCTAACAAAAAGTTTAAGTAGTAAATAATTCTTTGGCTTGCAACATCGCTACCTCTATTACTTATACCGTAGCATTGAACAAAATAATGTTATTCAGAGTTAAATTGCTTTTTTTACGTCGAATGTCACTGTTGACTACACTATTACCTAACATAGTACAACACCATTTGGTAACTACCATAATGGTTCGTTTGTGACGCTTAGTGAAAGTTTAACAATATAGGTTACCTAAATACGTACCTATTTCAGTAACATTTACCTATTTGATTCAAACACGACTGTGCCTAAGAATTTCACGATTCATTATTCAGAATACCGTAATGACGCTCTGGTCCACTTTAATTCAGTTTAGTTTCTAAGTCAGTAAGTGCTTCAAGATATTAAATAGTAATTTAAGTTCTCGATACTTAACGTTTTTTGATAAAATACCTATTAATAACCACACATTTACATTAATTTAAACACATCATTTAGGTTATGTAAATAGCTACCTACCTATGTTTGTAATGTGGGTTAAATAACTAAACACATATTTTAAATATAGCTTTTAATGGGCACGAGGAGTTAGCCATCCAAATGAATGCCACAATTGGTAAGCAAATAGATAAAAATAATATTTGAACGTGTCGCGGTGAAAGTTTGAATTCGCTCTTTTTCTTTAATGTCAGTGTTGTCGATTTTCTTTAACAATATATGGGGGGAAAGTTCTGAAATGACGTGAAAGATTTTCTCGTTCATACCGAGAGAGCGTAGCGACATGCAATACACATAATCTGCAGCTTACGTTTGTATGTATGTAAGTATAGTAAACGGTATCCTTGTCGCACCCACACTCGGTGACGCGCTCGCGCGACGCGTCACCTCACTATCCATCCACGCATGCGCACACACGCTCACTCACTCACTGATTGCAAAATGGCTGCCTTTATATTCAATCGAAATGAACATCTTATTTTGTTGTCACTTAATTTAAATACCATTGGATATTCTCAAGTATCAATTTATTTTTACAGCCATATTAACACGTCATTGCACAATGTAAATTAATTGTTTATGTATTTATTTGTACCAACAAAAACCTTTTTCTCTCGTAAATTTGGAGCATCACACTTGTAAAACGTTGTTTTTTTTTTTCTTTTTTTGCGTGGTACCTTGCCCATTCATTGTTTGATTCGAGCCTTATGCTGTTTTCTTAGACAACAATACAAACTTAAACCTCAACACAAAAGAACCTGAATAGGCAATCGCTTGTATTTTTTGTTCGTATAGTAGCCGTACAGCTTAACAATGTACCTGTTAACTCAGTAATCGGTAGCTCACTCGAACGACGCAACATAAAAACTTTATTCTTCTCCCTTACCGAACAGCCGCAAAAAAACCGATACACAAATTGGAAACATGGCTCAAATATTTTTTTCAGCTTAGTAGTAGTTTTACGTAACGAATTCAGAGCGCTTTCAAACTCATGCGCACCGGTGTCCCGCATCGTCTATTTGACAACTTCTTCAAAGTTCATGACCCGATTCTTTCGTAAGTGCACTATTAGATTTCACCAGATGCGCGTTCTAAGAGTCCTCAAACGTTCAAACGTTATGAATTTTTATTGTCTGAAACTGACCAACCGTACCAACTTTGTAGGGGGCCTAGGGGACCGGGTCACCCAATTTTTACTTCCCTTACGTAATTACTACTTGGTTGTGTCGTTGAACTCTGATATGTTTTGGTTTATGGGAAAGTAAGTGGACGTAGCTGCAGGGATCCCATAATAATTGCATACTTCTCAATACAATGTTAGAAATAACTGCAACTGTATAGGGTTTCTTCAAATGTTGCATCCGGTCAAGACGTTTGCATTAGAAGAATAATTTTATTTCTTTACCCTTTTAACCCTTGCACATTCAGTATAAAAAACTACCCAAATAATAATGCAGAAGGCAATTTAATTATTTTATTGCATATGATTAGAGAATAACCCAGCTTCCAATTAAAGTCATGGTTAAGTGAACTCAAATTTAACCAAAACCGTTTTCAATAACAACCCAAATTATCTACGGTTCATTTCTCTACGCAAACAATCCTTAATAAACTGAACTAGAAATTCTAAAATTCAATTAATGAGTTTTAACAAATCGCACTGCAGTGTCACCCCTGCAAACGGCACAGAATAAATCTGCATTGTGTTGTGATTGTCATAATGGCGGTGCAATAACGACGGCGCGTGCGCACCGCACCGCCCTTTGTGTCGCACCCTCGCGGACAGTGACTCCGTAACGGTTATATTGATTTTTTAACTGACAGTTCCCTTGTTGTTTGGCATTATTACTATTAATAAGAAATTATTGTCACAAAATGTAGTTAGGTTATATTTCACAATAAATCTTATAAGCGGCATACATGAAATACTTATTCTAAATTCGAAGTGCCTTCTTATGAACATGACACCTGTACAAAAATGACTAATGTCTCTACTTAACGAATTTTTCGCTCAAACCGAAAAAAAATAATAAATCGAACCAATTTAAACAAATCGTTCCACTTCAAAAACCAACAAAAAACATCATTTC